CTGTGCCGGGCCTGGACCTCCCCCTAAAGAGCTGAGACGGGAGGATGTCTGGGTTTCTGGGTGAGAAAGGTGTCTGGGGAGGGTCCCTGGCCCACAGGTGCCAGGCCCCTCCAAGGTGCAGCGAGCGTAGGTCGCCCGCCCAGCTCTCACCCCCCACGCAGGGTATGTGGGTGCCAGCGCCCTTAGTGGGGTGTCACCAGACAACACAAGTCAGGGACAAAGGACTCTGGGTGACAGGCCCTGGACCTCAGTCCTGCGGTGACACCCACATTTGGGAACAGAGGGAACTCATCAAAAATACAAATTCTGGGCCTCACTGGCCACAGCCCCTCTGGGCCTGCCTGGAACTGTTCACAGAGCCCCTGGTGACTGCCCTAGGCCCCTCCCCAGGCCTGCTGACAAAGGGCAGGCCCAGTTGACCGGGTCTTTTTTTAAAATTTTTTTTTAGTTGTAGATAACACAATATCTTCACTTTTATTTATTCATTTTTATGTGGTCCTGAGGATCGAACCCAGAGCCTCATGCATGCGATGCAAGTGCTGTACCACTGAGCCACAACCCTAGCCCCTGACGGGTCTTTATTACACGTGGGGAGGGTGGCTGGGGCTCAGGTGAGGCGAGGATGCACCTGGAGCTGCCTGTGGGTGCAAGAAGGGGGCAGTGGCCCTGGCCCTGTTGTTGGGGCATTCCATGCGTAGGGACACCTGCCAGCCCTCTTTGGAGAGATCAGCTTGAGGAATGTAGGGCAGTGGCATCTATCCCTCCATCTCCCTTGCCATTCATCCATTCTGTCCTGAGCACCTGCTGTATGCAGAGTCCTTTGATAGGGAATTTCTCCCAGATTAGCTGAGGGCCCCTCTGGGCCCCCCAGTCACCCCCAAGGTCTGCTCTCCAGCCCCTGCCCCTCAGTCTTCCCTACCCGGTGTACCCCTGCGTGGTGGTCTTGTGCAGGGCTCTGTAGGCTGCTTGTTGAACAGTGCCAGGCATACAGTGGTGCTCAATGAGGACTTGGGGAGTGAGTGGATGAGTGGATGAGTGGATGGAATCAAGCTGAAGGAGGGTGCTGGCCACTAGCCTTGGTGGCCCACCTTGGCCAGCAGACCCTGGCCCCTGGCAGCCGTGCCCTCCCTTCACCAGTCTGTTTCTCCTTTCCTCTTGATGACTGGGGGGCTCCTCCCGCTGAGGCCCTCTGACCCTGAGGGATGCTGGAAAAGAGCCCTTGGAAAGCATGCTAGTGGGAGGGGCCACCCTGTTTCCAGAATGTTCCAAGACCTTGAAACAGCCTGCAGGCCAGAGGCAGGGAGAGGGTGCTCAGGATGCCCAGGGGCACATGTGTACCCAGTGGGCTGGAAGGGCTGTGGGTGGGGAGAAGGGCTTCCGCAGACAGTGGCACCTGGAGGGAGCAGGCGCAGCTGGTGGGCACCCCAGGGTCCTGCCCCATGTCCAGAGCTCCAGGCCCCTCATGGCCTCAGGATCACCATCACTCCCCACTCTCAAGGCTCCTCTCTCCTTGGCTGATGGCCCCCTGTGGGGCCACTCCTCACACCCTAGCCGGTGCAGAGTGGCCCCGGGCTGGGTCAGGCCCTGCTGCTCACCAACAAACAGGCCTTTCCTGCTGCACTGGCCTGGACCCTCACTCCCTGGTCATCAGTGTCACCCTGAGCCTGGCCTGGCCCAGCCCTTTGCCCCACCTGTGAGCCTGGCCACCCTCCCTTCTCTGTTCCCTGCTCTTAGCCTGTCTCCACCCGGCCCCATGGCCCTCCCCAGCCCTTGTCCTGCTCAGCAGCCCACAGTCAGGCTCCAACACAGCTTAGGGCCTCCCCAAGAGCCCTCCTGTGCTCCTCCACCGGGCCCGAGACAGCCCTGGGCACCGAGGAGGGCCTTCCCAAGGGCTCAGGTGGCAATGTATGCCAAGAGCACAGCGTGACGGCAGCATGCACCACCGGCTTCACCCCACTCCAGAGGCGGTCCTGCGACCTCCTCCACCCCACCCCTCCTCCAATTATTTTGAAGCAATGTTCCCATATCACATACTGCCGCCAGCAAATCCTCCAGCGCTCGTCTCTGAGGTTCGTACAGAGGAGGTGGACATGCTTGGCCCCGGCCCCTTCTTGCTGGTTCTCAGGACCATGAGCCCGGCCACTTGCCAAGAAGTTTTCAGTCTTCTTATGTAAGTTTTTAAGATATCTGACCTATTTTAATTCATAATTCTTTTTGATGTTCAAATTATCCTGCTGCAGATCAGACCCTTTTAAAAGTAGAAAGTGGACTCATGGGGAAACCATTTTAAGACAAAATAGCCAAGGAACCGACTCTAACCTTTCCAGTGGTAACCGACGTACGTATGTATGATTCCAAAGTAACACGACAGTCTGCCCTCCATACCTGCAGGTTCTGCATCCACAAGTCCAACCAACCCCAGTTGGCAAATATTTGAGAAGCAAACTGCCTGTACTGAACATGTACGGACTTTTTCTTGTCACAATCCCCTAAACGGTACAGCGTAACGACTATTTAAGTACATTCCTGCCGTGTTCAGTATTACGAGGGGCCTAGAGGGGACTGACGTGGCCTGGGCCAGTGCCACACTGTTTCACATAAGGACTTGAGCCTCCAAGGATTTTGATATGGGAGGGTGATCTGAGACCATCCCCTGTGGATTCTGAGGGATGACTGACTGTGCCAGCTTATTGCTAGCAGTATATTCTTGGTGTTGCTTTGGCCCCTTGCAGATGGGGGGACTCTCGACCACCACGCTGCAGTGTGCGGCTGTACCAGAGCAGAATTCCACCGATCCAAGGGCACTGGGTTTTGCTGGTATAAATGGTGGAGTGAGACACAGCCTCACATCTATACCATTCTCTGGTGAGTCTTTGGGTTAGTGCATAGCAGCGTGACTTTCGGGTAAAAGGGTACACGCACTTTTGCTGATATTGTCAGAATTTCCTCCCCATGGGTGACTGGGAAAGCACCTGCCACCTGGCTTCTCCCGGGAGCATGACATCAAACGTCTGGATTTTTGCCCATCAGATAGCAAGCAATGGTCTCAGAGTGTACTTTATATCTGCGTTTTGCTCGTTAGGAGTGAGGCAGCGCGTTCCTTTACAGAGGCACAGGCCCCATCTCTCCTCCTGTGCGCTGTTCCCCAGGACTGTCCCTTTGTGGTCCCCAGTTTCAGGTGTTCTTTATGTATCAGTGATTAATCCTTTGCCTGTGATGGGAATCGCAAATACTCCCTCCCGTTCGCCACTCACCCCTTTTACTTTGCCAAGGGCGGTCTTCTTCTCCTTGACTATGGCCTCTAGAGCCTTCACGGTCGTCGGCTCTCCCGGCCCCCTCGTCCCTTCTTACAGAATACGCAGTTTCACTTGACTTTTCCTTGAAAGCCTAGGATCCATCTGGAAGTATTCTTGGGCATGGTGTGAGAGGGGCCGTGTCTCCTGGCTCTATCCACATGCTTATTAAACACTCATCTTCCCCCCGACCCGAGACACAGGCGCCGGTCACTTTGGCGTGCCTTCACCCAGAAAGTTACAGAATGCCTGCTGGCAGCCGCAGTCAGCTCCTTCCCTGCCCGTTTTGTATTCAGGTGGCAAGTGGGACGTCCCCCTAGCCTGTGGGTCCCCTCAGTCTCCCAACACCTGCCCCCCAGCCTGCTGGGACTTCTCTCAGCAAACAGTACTGGGCCCCAGTCTAGAGCTGACCCCCGATGCCCACCACAGAGCTGAGAGCCCTGGGCGCTCAGTGAACACCTGCAGGCATCTTGCCACAGTCCCCTGGCTGCAGGGAAGCACAGCTGAGCTCCATGCTCCTCCAGAGAGGGGGAGGGGCTGGCCACGTGGGAGAACTCGGTGCAGCACAGGCCTGGGGCCCCAAGTGCAGAGCTGGCCACCACACCCCTCACCTCGACATCCACCCTGGGAACCAAGTGCCTGTCAACCCAGGTTCAGGAGCAAGGAGAGTGAGGAGAGCCAGAGGACAAGGAGCCCATTCTCTATGTCCCTGGGGTGGCTCAGATATTTCTCCCTGGCCTGCCCAGGCAGCCAGCCCCACCTGTGCCCAGCAGTCAAACCTGGGTCAGCCCACAGCCCCAGGCTTCCAAGGCGCTGTCCCAGACGGTCTGCTAATAGTTCTTTCTCACCTCCCCAGTGCCTGGGCCTTAGTGGGCAGATTTCAGCGCATTCTCCTGGGGCCCCAGAGGCCAACACCTCCTCACCCCCGTGCGCCTCAGGGCGCCCCTCTGTACTCCTTGCCTCCCCGGAAAGGCTCAGAGGGCGGGAAAATGGGTGCCTGCATCCTAACCGGCCATGGGAGCGCATTCGCGGTGGCGGCACCTGCTGGCTCCCGGGCTATCCTCCCCGCCTTGGCTGGGGACCTCCTGAGACAGGCGGGAAGGAGGAGCTGGGTGCAAACACGTGGGCGAGAACCGGGTTCAGCGGGCGAGCACGGAAGGGAAGAGGAGAACAGGTGGGCACCCGCAGCTTTCCGAGCACGCCGGGCGGTCG